AAAAGCACTTGAAAATAGGAAAGCCTTCTAAATCAAAAACTCCTTGAATACTCCTTGAATATGATGATAGTGAAATCATAATTATTTGGATTAAAATAAGAATAATTATATTAAAAAATCACTGCCAGAAACTATAAATCACATTGATTTTTTCTGATTCATTAAACTGATGATAAGTGCTTGGTTTGAATATTGATGCCTATTTTCAAAGATTCTGTACTTAATTTAATTTAATTTATTAGCTTTGCCCTAGTATGGGCAGGGGCACCGCAACAGCGTGAGCCAATTACTGCGGACCCTGTACTCTCACACTCACTACCTCTACATTAAGTATTTTAGCACACATCACTCCTCACTCCTGATTTTTACTGAGGGAGGAAAACCAGAGGACCCGGAGAAAAACTCTTATTAGTGCTTATTAAAATACCTAGTTTATTGTAGGTTCTGAGGGAAAGCTAACAGTCTGGAATGATAGAGTGACAATAATTGAGGCTATCGGTAAACTGGAAGGGAACTCCATTGGTAACAGCTCATCAATGGAAGGACTTGTTAAGACTGTCATTGTTAAGATGGTGCCTTATATCCAACAAGAAGGTACTGTATGACCATGACATTCCTAGTCAATCTTGTTGTCCAAAAGATAAATAGAGCAGAGCAATTACAGTGGGAATCGTTGCTTTGCGACTTCTCTGTTTTTAAGTTTGTTTGGATTTTATTCTTTCCTTTGATCTGGGGGGTGGAGTTTTTGTAAACATGTTCAGTGATTGGCTAATTTGTATCAAGCTACACCCCCAATTCGCAAAATAAAAACTAAATCCCAATGATTTCCCTACTAGAACATTGAAGTTGTGATGCAATGGTTTCTGCTGTAAAGTGTGAAAAAAACCCTAATGGTACTTAATTTTAAGCATGACAGTCTTATGAAATATGCTTGTCATGCTTCAAAAGTACAGAGAATTTATTTGAAGATTAAAATTTGGGATTTTTTTAATTTTAGTCCAGGAGACTGTTGTTGTATCAGGATTATCTGTCATGACTCTGTGGTGTAAACATATCACTTCYGAAGTCCCCAAACAACTATTAGAAGCATTCAAGGTATTTTAACATAACTAGGTTGATTCTGCAGGCTATAGATGATAGTGAGGGATCAGGTGTTTTCTTGCCTGGGTTGACCTGAAGCTTGACTCATTGTTTGTAGTTGTTATAGTGACATTTCTGATAGTATTCTTGACTGCTTTTAACATGGTACAACTGACAACTGTCCTGCTGTGTCCACTTTTCTATTAGGCGGACAGCTCTACCAGCAGACACTTTTTCCCAAGGATGTCTGCTTACAGGAGATTCAACTGTACAGTTTTTCATGCAAGCYCTATCAATGGCCATATTATATGTGCATGTCAACTAATATAAGCACAATAGCTGTCAGCAACATTGGAATTCTCTGTATTCTAAAAACTGTATTCACCAGTTTTTATTGGCAAATTTAACATATTTTTTTTAGTATTAAGTCTTATCATACAGTATTAGGTGAAAAAYGTCTGAAAATATTTGAAGGTACTTTCCATGATAAGTGAATACATTCATTTTTTTCATTAACAGAAAGGAATGAGTAACAARGTTTCCACTGCTGTAGTTCAAAGTGGTTTTATTCAATGTATGGGAGC